GAGGGCATAGCAACTAATCTGCACACCTTAAAGCACAAGGGCTGGGCCGTTTTTAAGCCCTTTTGCATACGTAGGGTGCCTTACTCATTTGGAGACCCCACACGTACTTCAGATTGTAACAAGGATGTAGAAGAGATTCCCACACTTGGTGTGCGGGAAGGAGGAGCGGAAGTAATGCTAAACAGTAGGCGGGCGCCCTGGCCTTGGCCCTCCAGGGAGTTGGGCGTGGCTTTGACCGCTGACGTAGCTGGGCCCGTGGAGGGGGGGGACAGGGATTCCCGGGTTACAGCGCCTGCACGGGAGTGTGGGGATGGTTCGCTCCACGGTACTGGGACACACCTACCTGGACTTCATACCTGCCCGGACTGTCTTGGATCGCAGCCTAGAAAGCCAGAAGCTGCAGGGAACAGGCTGATGTAACCCAGTGTGGGCGGAGTCGGAAATGGGGTTTCGGAGGAGGCGCCAGAATTTAAACTCAAGCGCGGGAGCCGTTCTGGGTCTCGGCCACGTGGTACGGAAAGGAGAAGGAGGCTTAGTGCCCTGTGGGCTGCAGAAAGGGATTAAGCCAAGTGGCCTGCCCGTTGGGAGGAAGGAGGACTTCCTTGCAAGATCCTGATTTGCTGCACCTGGATTTTACCCGGACTTTAGGACCTGTGCCTTTCCCGGTTCACCGTGGTCCAGAGGAACATGGAATATGCTTTTCTGTGCCGTTAAAATGGAGGCTAATGACCGCGGATCCCAGATCCTGAAAGGAGAGCTGCTGCGTGAGGATGGCGACTTTAGTACCTTCCAGAGGGACTGGAGAACTGTTTGTGCAGTCGACTTCAGATAAGGAAATGGGGGGCTTCTACTTTGGGGGTTTGGGTTAGTAGCCTGGTGGGGAGGATGGGAAGTGCTGGGTCTCCTGGGAAAAAAACTGGGCTCAAAGTCCAACGATGCTCTAAGCTGCCCCCGAGGCGGGAATGTTGTAAATAAGGACCTGCTCTTCCAGCATTAATTATAGAGTCTTTCACCAAGGTGGCTCGGTAGCTCGCAGACTGGCCGCTCTGCTGTTACGATGTCCCATTTTTTAAATATTTTATTTATTTTTAGAGAGAGGGGAAGGGAAGGAGAAAGAGAGGGAGAGAAACATCACTGTGTGGTTGCCTCTCATGTGGACCCCACTGGGGACCTGGCCTGCAATCCAGGCATGTGCCCTGACTGGGAATCAAACCAGCGACCCTTTGGTTCACAGCCTGTGCTCAGTCCACTAAGCTACACCAGCCAGGGGACAATGTCCCATTTTTAAAAGCATAGATAATTGTTGCAGAGAAATCTGCAAGAATATTAAAATTTTTAATTTTGAAAGTATTTGACTAAGACATGGAAAGATTCATCAAGCCAGAGACTTAAGATTCTTTTTCTTTGCACATTTCACTCAATGGGTATTTTACCTTAACAAAAAAGTAAAACAAAACCAAAAATTATTTGCTTACATGTAAACCATTTAGGCAATGATTCTGTAAAGTCGGGATTATTGCAAAGTGAGAAAACCTAACCTATACATTACTGTCAAATGGAATGACCTTTTACAAATGCTAATGGCAGCACTTAAAGGATTACATGAATCACACTTTTTAAAAGATTTTATTTTCAGCGAGAGGGGAAGGGAGAGAGAAAGAGGGAGAGGAACATGGTTGTGAGGACCATCTCATGGCCCCCGACTGGGGACCTGGCCTACAGCACAGGCCTGCGCCCTGACCGGGTGGGAATCAAATCCGGGAACTTTTGGTTCACAGACCAGCACTCAATCCACTGAGTCACACCAGCCAGGGCAACAGTTTGTAGATAATCGATTAAACCTTTGTTTATTTCTGTTAAGGAGTCTCTCTAGAACTTTGCATTCAAATCTTAAGAATGCTCTCAAGTTTCTCCGTGGCCGGTTCTACTTCCCTCCTCCTTGGTGCCTCACAGGCCTTACCCTCATGAAACCACTTGCTCCTATTTTCATTGCCCTGTTGTTTCTTTTTCTGTATTCTTTTGAAATTTTTTTCTTAACTACTTGCCCTGGAGATTATAATTAGCCTTTTAATGTAAAACAATAGTTGAAATTAATAGCAGCATTGCTTTATTATAACTCTCTTCCCTCACTCTTTGTGCTATTTTTATTTATTTTTTAAAGGTTTTATTTATTTATTTTTAGAGAGAGGGGAAGGGAAGGAGAAAGAGGGAGAGAAACATCAATGTGTGGTTGCCTCTCACGTGGCCCCCACTGGGGACCTGGCCCACAACCCAGGCATGTGCCCGGGCTGGGACCACCAACCAGAGACCCTCTGGTTCACAGGCCGGTGCTCAATCCATTGAGCTCAATCCACACCAGCCAGGGCCCACGGTACTATTTTTATACATAGCCCATACAACAGGTTTACAATTTTAGTAATGCAGTTTTCTTTTCAATCAGATAGGGAATGTACAAATATCAAATCATTATGCTGTGCTCCTGAAATTAATATTATGTTATATATCAATTATACCTCAATAAAAACCAGGTAGTAAATAAACAGCCACAAAGAAGCTCCCATTTGTACCATCTTGCAGGTTTACTGTGTAGTTACTTTTCACCAGTGCTCTTTACATCTACAACCCACTTAGTGACTTGTAGAAAGTAGCGGCCCCCGTCAGAGGCTAAGACAGTCCTGTCACTGGTGCACACACACCCTCCTGGTGTCCTGACACCTGTGCGTGTCGCCCACTCTACACTCCAGTGTCAAGTGTCTATGGAGCAGGCTGCACCCCAATCTGTGGCCCTCCTGCCAGTACTGGGGGTGGAAATGTGTTTTCAAATCGAGGTTCTCGAACCTTAGTAGACAGAGAATGTTCCATGTACAATTCTGAGCCCCTCGAGACACTCTGAACCAGAGTCTTCTGGACAAACAACCCCTTATCCCCAGAGAGAGAGCCCTGTACATAGTCCGTGGTTACTTTCTTTGAAGTCTCTTTGATGTACAGAAAGACCAGTTTTGCAGACCCACTTGTCAGGCATCAGGAGAGGCCCGTAGGCTGACATATCACCAAATGATTCTCGTTTGGATTTTAAACAAATATAAGACGGACCGATGGTGTTATACACAGAATATTTCTCTCTCAAAAATGCCTATGTTAAAGTGCTCTCCATAAAGGGCGGTGGTGGCTTTGGAGGGAGTTGCGTCATGAGGGTGAAGCTCCTATGATGAGATTCTAAATGTACAACAGAAGTGCTCGCTCTCCTGCTCTGTGCTGCAGGGGGCGCAACGAGGAGTCAGCTGTGTACAAACTGGACATTGGATCTGCTGGTGCCTTGATCTTAGACTTCCCCCCCGAAACATCTCAACCGTCCTCTGCTGTTAGAGCAGCTTGGGGTAAGATGATAGAACGGTGGAACAGCTGTCACAGTGAGGGACAAATGGGTTTCAAATATTGCCTTAGAAACCCGCAAGTCAAAGGGGCCATGAGAAATGTTCAAGTCACCAAAGGTTTGTTCTGAGGCTAATTTTCACACTCAGAAGTCAACCCTGAGATTCTTTCTAATAATAAACTATTTGGGATTGAGGGTGGCTTGGCTCCAATAGGATGATCAGACTCTGTTATAAACCAAACTGTTGATAGGCCATGTTTTCGGGTCTGTCTTCACCTCCCTGTGCTTCCTGAGAGCAACTTCCAGTCACTTCATTAAGAGAAGTTAGGAGTGGTGAAGGGGAGAGTGGCAAAAACACGGGGAAATGGGAAGAAAGGGGAGGACAAAAGACGCCGAGGTAAAGGGGAAGGAAGTTGGTAGAAGGTGGAGAGAGAGAAGGTGCCCTAAAACTTCTAAAACACTTGCTCTCCACAGGGCTTTTGAGGAGAGTGGAGAGAGGTTATTGAAAGTGGAATTTTTTTTTGAAAAAATATATTTTAATTGTTGTTCAAGTACAGCTTTCTGTCTTTTACCCCCATCCCAGCCCAACCCCCCAGTGCTCCCCACCTCCCTCCCATTTCCACCCCCCTTAGTTTTTGTCCATGTGTCCTTTATACTAGTTCCTGTAAATCCTTCCCCTTTTCCCCCTGAAATTCCCTCCCCTCTGGTCGCTGTCCCCCTGTTCTCCATTTCAGTGTCTTTGGTTATATTTCACTTGCTTGCTTGTTTTGTTGTTTAGCTTCCTGTTAAAGGTGAGATCATCTGGTATTTTTCACCGCTTGGCTTATTTCACTCAGCATAATGCTTTCCAGTTCCATCCATGCTGTTTGTTGCAAAGGGTAGGAGCTCCTTCTTTCTTTCTGCTGCATAGAACTCCATTGTGTAAATGTACCATGGTTTTTTGATTCATTCATTTACTGGGGGATCTCATAAAAATAAAAAGCTTCTGCATGGCTAAAGAAAAACACTATTAAAATAAAAAGAGAACCAACTGTGTGAGAAAACATTTGCCAATGATACCTCAGACAGGGTTTAATTTCCAAAATATACAAAGAATTTATACAACTCCACCCTAAGAGGACAAGCACCCAATTAAAAAATGGGCAAAGATTTAAAAATTCTAATGTTCCTTACAACATGATCCTCTGGAGCGACTCTAGCTTAATGCACAAGCATCATTATCTGATTCATTGTAACCCTTGCACCATATCACAAACTGACTAAGCAATTTGTGGCTTATTGGAGAAATGAAGGCAATATGATTAACAAGATGTAGTAAAATTTTGGAAAGTATCAAGGAAAAAGCATTTCAAGGAATAATTAAAAAGGCTTAAATCATAGTGGCATTATGAACTAGGCCTTTTAGTGGTACATTTTTATACATATATTTATGTGAATGTGCATAATATAGATGGTATGGCCCCTTTAGGTTCATCCCTTTCTAAGGCTTGTATAGGATTTCATATAAAATAGCTATGACTTTAACTCCATCAGTGTTTATGAGGGCAGAACCGTTTAGCACATGGTATAAAGAAAAGAATGTGGAATCGACATGTTGGAAACCTCAGTTCCTGTTCTGGTTCTGCCACTAACTGCCACCACTCGCTGCCAATGGAAGTCAATGAACTTCCATTGATCTCAGTTTCCATATTTCAAGATTGACCTAAGTAATGTTTTTCTTTCATTTCTGACCTTTTAAAAAATATGTATTAGCATTTCTTAAAAATTTTTTAAAATTTATCTTAACTGTTGTTGAAGTACAGTTTTCTGTCCTTTATTCCCATCCTAGCCCACCCCCCCCAGTGCTCCCTACCTCCCTCCCATTTCCTCTCCCCTTAGTTTATGTCCATGTGTCCTTTACACTTGTTCCTGTAAACCATTCCCCTTTTCCCCTGAAATTCCTTAGGCCTTGGTGTGGGCCCCTGTGTTTCTCACTGGCACCAACAGTGAGGAGACAGCAGATCTCAGGGCTCAGCTTGCCCACGTGACGGCTATCCAGTGGTACTAGGTCTTACTCTCCCGTTCTCATTCCCAGGTTCAGTGAGGGTGCAGGTGTCAGGCTGGGAAGCCACCTTCCCTGTCCTCACTGTAGGCCTTCTGCACCCCCCCTTCCCACTCAGTTATGCCCTCTGTACCTGTTACCTGTACCTCCATACCTGTAAAGGATCCAGCCTAGATGCCGAGTGTGGTTAAGATAAAAATCGGTGTGAAGACCAAGGCAGTGTTGTCCTTGATAATCACAGCCTTGGATGGGGCCGGGACTGGGGCCATAGTTGTGGCCATGATTGGTGCAGCTGCAAGGGAAACACCAGTGTCAGCCTTGTCCAGACCCCATTTACAAAGAGACACCCCTCAGCCCTGCTGCCCCAGGTGACCCTACAATGCAGACAGGTTCCACCCCTCTATGTGTGGCAGCCACTGCGGCAGGTCCTGGGCTTGGAACACAGAGGAGATGGGCCCTGTCCCCTTGGGCTCCTACAGCTAATGGGGGAAGCAGGGTCACAACATACCCAGTCCTTCCTGCTGTGACAGAAGAGGAGGTGACACATGAGGAAGGAGGTAGAGCAGTCTTCTCAAGAGCTGATTTTGAGGTGGTATTGAGGGATTTGCAGAAATAAGCAGGTGAGATAAAGAAGAAAAGTGAGGTGAGAAGAGGAAAGACCACAAGGAGCAGGTCTGGAACAGAACGAGGCCCTCACGTTTGGGATCAGCAAGAAACCCACAGTGACGCCCCAAGGTTAAGTGCAGGTAGAAGAGACGTGAGGAGGTGAGAAGGGAAAGGAGGGATGTAAGACACTCCTGTGGCCATTATTTAAAACAAAAACCCACTGTGGGCAGATCAGTCTCTCAAACTACACAGAGACAGTGTCAATGTCATTTTGAGAGACCATAACTTCCCCTCTGCAGTTACCTTTTGTGTCCAGAACTATGCTCTGATTAAGCAACTTCCCACACTCTCCATGTGAGATATCAACAAGGAGACTGGTCACATATCTGTCATTCTCCAGTGTCTCCTTTAATGATCTACATCCAGGATGCAACTCTGTCCAACTTCTGCTCTTCAAGTCAATACGGAGACACATCTGTTTATTGATGTCAACCCGACAGAACGTGCTATAGCATCCATCGGATTCCTGCTGACACATAATGTGGACCTGCAGGGAGAGAGAATCTGTCCCCAACCCCCACGGGAAAGAGGTCAGCCTCAGGTCTTGACAGATCCTCTGGCCCCACCCAGTAACCAGCCCTTGGCTCCCTCCTGTCTCCAGGTCCTGTGTCCTCTGTGTCCTACCCTGGCTGCTGGGCCTCTTGGGTAGGAAAAGATTCCAATACTTACATGAACACAATTGTTCCCTACCCCTACAACACTTCTCTACTTCCACCCTGGATCGTGCAAACTTACCAAAGGCTTTGGAAATACTGTCTCTATTGTCCACCAGTGCCTCCCGGAGCTCAGGCAACAGTTTTGTCCAAAGTTCACACCATTCGCTGCAGGCCTCTGTGGCATTCAGCAGCATCCCCAGGGGACCCACAGGTTTGCGCATCCTGCTCTTACAGGAATATTCAAAAACTGGGGTCCCATTGATCATGCCCACAAACTCACACCATGATGGTCCACTGGCAGAGAAACTGAATATATAGCAAAGAGAGTGGGCATCTGTGAAGGAGAAAATGCAGGTGAAAGTTGGGTTGAAAGAAAAGTGACCATGAGCATCTCCCCATCTCTGTGCCAACAAATGACTCCCCCTGACACCTGAGCTGGCAGACCAAGGACTGACCCCGTCAGGCACCTCTCTTCACCAGGTGAAGGCTAGATCCCCTCCCTTGTTTGAGGGGAACCAGGAGGCCTCTGCCTGGCAGAAGCCACACAAGAAACCACACGTCTCCAGATATGTCCCCTCTGCTCACCAGGCCAATTTGCATCATCACTCAGCCCACATCCGAGCCAGGGATGTGCCAGGTGGCTATGAAGGAAAAATCTAGATGCCAGAGGATTGTCAGGAAATAGCCAGGACCCTGCAGGGACATGTAGGGGACTGCTCCTGATGAAGGTGGGTGACAGTGGGGTGGGGGATGGGGGAGTTCAGGATTGTGGGTCCTGATTTAGCACAGCCCTGGGAGATGGCGCCCACCTGCTGCTGGGATGGGTCTTGCAAGGTTGGCACCGTGCATGGAACAGAACAGCCAGAACTTCTGAGCAGGTAGTAGAGGAAGGGATCAGCTGGCTCAGAGAAATGAATGTTGCAGAGGGAGGTAGAATATGAAAAGGCAGGAAAGTGTCCAATCAACCACGCACCGTGGGAAAGCCTAAAGTTCTTGTTTATGGAGCCTATGTGGAGAGCATGGATGGGAAGGACACCAGAATTCCCAGAAAGCTGAAAGATGACTTTTGCTGAAGGTCAGGAATAGTCCTAGGAGTCAGTGTTTTCCAAAATGGCTGCCAGCAGTAATGGGAGTGGTAAATATCAAGATAATAAGTCACAGGTACAGGTGCTCTATGTCAGGGAAATCCACACCATTTAAACAGGGCCTGGGAGAGATGAGTTTCATCTGTGAAACATCAGAGTTGCCCGTCATGAGCGTCATTAGCTAAGGCAGGCCGAGTGCTCATAAGATAGAGGTGACTTTTCCAGCACAGAAAGGAGCAGGGTCACTGGGAACAATGAGATGAGCAGCAGGTGGCCCCCATCTTGACACCACAATGTACCAGCACCACCCTCTGCTCACACCTATGGCTTCATGCACTGCCTCCCACGCCCCTTCCACGCAGGAAGCAGTGCACACAAGGAAGGGGAGCACAGGCTCCTGCCTGTGGGACCCACATCCTCGCACATCACTCCTCCCAGAAATCACAAGCAGAATAGGGCATGGTTCTGGCCCTGGCTGGTGTGGCTCAGTGGGATCAGTGCCAGTCTGGGAACAGAAAGGTCTCTGGCTCGACTCCTGGTCTCAGCACATGCCTGGGTTGTGGGCCAGGTTCCCCTCTCCTTGTTTCTCCTCATCTCTTTCTCCCTCCCTGCCCCTCTCTAAGAAATAAATAAAATCTGTACCCCAAACAAAAAGCAAAGAGCATGGTTGTGGCTCTTAAACAAACAGTAAAGGCATCCTGGGAGACAATTCCCTAAGGCCGCGGTCACCCGTATATGGGACTCCCTATATACTCTAAACCTGGGGTGAGCAAACTAGGAATGGGGCCACATCTGATAGGACTGGCCACATCTGGTCACCACATTATTTGACAATTTTGGCTGCTTTTGCACCACAAGCACAGAGGTGCCCAGTGCCTACAGAGACAGATGCCCAGAGGTCTGTGCAGACAAAAATTTACCCTTTACCCTTTATAGAGAAGGTTTGCAGCCTCCTGCCCTGACCTATGGCCTTTATGTAAAGCTGCCTCCTGGGCAGGTGGGAAATGTGGGTGTGGGGTCAAAGGGGAGGGAGGGAGGGCCGACCACCAGCCCCAAGACCGCACTTGGGAAAAATGTGCCCCTGCCCCTCCTGCTCTAGGATCTGTGGGCCAGGTGCCCAACCTTTTGCCGCGTGTGACTTCAGGCAAGGAGGATAAAGTGCCACTTGGAGGAGGGAGGGGGTAGCCTCACTCCATAGATGGGGAAGTACTGGAGGCACTACAAAACCGGGACCCCGCAGAACTGGGTAACAAAACCGGGAGAGCTCCGGTGAGGAGCAGTAACTCCGAGGGAACTGGTTAAACTGTGTGCCTGGAGCTGCAGGCTCCATGGTCAGCTGGCACAATGAATGGCGCTGGGAAGTTGGGGGGTGAGGTGGTTCACTGGGAAAGTCCCGTGAATAGAGCAGGGGCAGGGGGCCGTCTGCGGATGGAGACCCTGCGGAAATGCCCCTGTCCTGGCGCCCGGGGTCATGGGACGGCCCCCAGTTCCCTGAGCACCGCGTGACCCAAGGTCAGGAGAGCAGCCTAGGGACATGTGTTCCCTTTTTGTCCCAAGCCACCTTTTCTTGGTCCTTCCTCTTGCCTGGATGGCAGCAGCCTTCCCCCGAGCCCGCGGAGGGGACTGAGAAGAGGGCAGAGGCGCCAACCAGAGAAATATTCTCCAACTGCCTGGAGCACTCCATTTCCATCAGCGAGCTTAAGGCCCCCACCCTTCTCACTCCCTTTACCCCTTTCTCCCCAACCACCCCCCCCCCCCCCCCCATGGAAGGGTGAACTCACCACCTTGCACCATGCAACAGCAGAACAGCTCAGCCAGGAGAACCACACGGGCAAGACGGAAATTCGAGCCTGCCATCCACTCCACGGTGAGCAGCAGTTGGAGCACAAGTCTACTGGGGCGGGAAAGGTGTCTGCCCTGAATGCCTGGGAAAAGTGTCCAGGAGAACAGTGAGCCGTGGTACTAGGACCTGTTGAGCCCCGGCTAGGCGTCAGCCGGCCTTCCGCCCCGCCCCTTCCCTTCCCTTTGCTGTGGAAAAAACCTCGATGCCTCTACCCAGGGACGGTCCCCTGAGCTCTGTTCGCTCCAGACCGAGGCATCGTCCGTGAGCCGCAAGCAGCGCTGTACGGGTGCCCAGGCCCAGCGCGGCGTTGACAACCCAAACACCAGTCCCCCAACACCTACACAAACTCCTGACCCACCTTGTCCCCCCAACCGCCGAGGAGAGAAGGAAGGAGAGGTATCCCCATAACACCATACAAACAGCCAGCGTCGGCCCAAGAAACAGCCTCCGGCGCCGGCGCAGCAGCGCGCCGCACCGGGCTCCTGGGGGCCCGGGACGGTTACTCCGCCACGAGAGCCACGCCAGCCGATGCCCCCGCCCAGCTTCACCCTGGAACACCGGCTCCTGAGCCATACAAGCTCCAGCGCACCTTCTCTGCATAACCGCTCAGGAAAGCAAAGAAAAGAGATGCAGCCTAACGCCGGACAGATCGCGCCCCAGGACTGCTCCGCAGAGATCCGCCCCACCACGCCTGCACTGCTGGCTCCGGCCGGCCCGACTTCCCAGCTCGCCAGTGCCCGGACCGTGGCGGCTGCGGAGGCTGCAGGAACCTCATCTGGGACGCCCCCGTGCTGCCGCCAGCCGCAAGCCTGTGCGTCCCTCCGAGATTCCGGCACTGCGCGCACACCGAGCCCAGAATCGCACCGGACATCCGGCTGCGCGCAGAGGCCGCGCTGGGACCCCTGAACACCCGCAGCGCACAGCTACCAACTCCCAGCCTACCTTCTCCCTGACCGGTCTGGCAGAGGAGGAGAGACGCCCCTGTGACACCAACCCGTGGATCTCGGGGCAACTGAGAGAGGCTGGGCTTGCAGTGCACCTTCTGCCCCGCCCCGCGGGTGAGTCACTGGGAGCCCTGCTGAGGTTTTCAGATCGTCTCTCCCACGTTCAGCTGTGGTGACTCCAGTTCTTCTAGGGGGCTGACCGCCCCACAGCAAAGAGTTGTTTGGCCAAAATGTCAATAGTACAAGAAACTTTTCACTTTTAACAACTTTGCTGACAAGAGAGACCTGGTTTATCTTGCTAAGGCATGTAAAGAATTACAGATCAGCAAATCTGTTAGCATGCAATCAGCTTATTAGCCATCCGTCCCCCTGGAAGGGAACGGGACTAGCTAGAGTGTGAGGCGGGGAGAGGGCGGTGAAAGGCAAAGTTCAGGGCAAAGCAGGGAGGCAAAAATAAGAGCAGCAAAAGTAAGAGCTGCTGAAGACCAGGTGGCAAGCCCTAGGGGGCTTATCCAGCCCTGGGTTGTGGCGGGGACCCAGGATGTTCATGGAGGGTTGTGACCCCAGACAACTGCATGCCTCAAGTCCACTCACACGACTTTCCAACCACACTTTCCAATATCCCCACTGATCTTGACCCCTGACCTCCCTCCCCTGTGGCTTTGCCAGAGGATCCAACCCTGCAGCCCCAGGAGCTGACTTCACCAGGCTCACCCCAGCCACTCCCCTTGGGCACTCTCCTCCCCAACTCAGTACCCTGGCTCACAAACCCCAGTGCCTTCAAGGCCTTGCCACCTAAAAAGGTGACAAGTTGTATCACCCCCCCCCCCACAGTTGTATCTCATCCCCCTGCCTGAGACCAGCCCCATTCAAGTCTCTGCACCTGGGCCCCAGAAGCTCAAGTACTAGGGACAGAATGCAGTTTGCTGAAGTTGACCCTCAGAGTGATGGTAAATAGCGAGCCTATCAGTCTAGGCTTTGGTCCCAATCATATGTTCTACC